TTCTGTAGTAGATAGTGAGTAGCATAGCAGTGTGCAGTTTTAAACAAAATGACGGCCGCGTTTTCGAAGTGTCTATGACGAGGATTGAGATCATTGTGTTTATGTTCTGAACGACTATTAGATTTATGCTAAAACAATTAGACTAGTCGCTCTCAATTTCTATGCGTGATAGTTGTGTGGCCCTTAATTGTCGATAGAAATCTCGAGCTAATAATCTAACTGTTAAATATGTCTTTCTTCGTTAGGAGCAACCCCAGTAAATTGAATGAAGCAATTCTTGTGTGCATTTTCAGCAGGCAACTACAGAAAGAAGGAAACGTGCCTTGAATTCAAATTCACACAGTTTGTAACTTACGCTTTGATCATTTCTCTGAGCTAAAAATCATCTTGAAGTAAATACGTTTTGTCGACTTCTTGGCCGTTTGGAAAATACAACTATCGTAATTTAAGCACGGAGCGATCCTATATAACGAGGCTGAGGTGTTCAGCCTGCCAATCACAAATCCCAACAGGCGACCAATGCTCCCATTTGATTGACTTATTCACTCAGGTCTATTTTTAGCGCGTTGCCACAAAATTCTGGAGAGCGACGGGTGTAATTTTCTGTTTTATTTTACAAGTAAGCAATGCCTTTTGAACTAAATGAACGATAGCTTCAGGAGAAGAGTTTACAAAGAAAATTGACCTTTTTAATTTCAGCTTCATAATTTTGTTCCTCCACTTGCGACAGCCAATCGTGTGAATTCAAGCTGTTCACTCAAATTTAGAAAAAGGCCTTGTCTAGTGCTTTTGATGCTAGAGTGTCTTTGTTCCGAGGATTAACGCGGTTGAGAAGTAAGCTTGGAAACTAAAACTCGTAAAAACTTCAGATACAAGCAGACTGCGAAGGTAATATATTAAATCTACGGTAATATGGTTATTCTGCAGCCAGTTATCTAAAAGAGATCCCATAAGGTGAACATTGGCTGCTGTCGTACTCTTGCTGCTGAAATTCAGTCGGCCTTTCACGAACGCAATTTTTGTTTTTATTGCATTCAGCCATGAGCGTTCCTTCTCCTTTCTAACGTTAATGTGCAGGCGAAATCTCACTTTGTCCTTTTTCAAGTTTTCTTGTTTCTTCGTAGTACTAATGAAAATAACACCGTGGTCATCACGTGTCGTGTCAG